TGCTGGGGGGGAGGGGTTCCCAACTGATGATATAAGCAGGAGACAAGGTGGAACTGTCCCCTGCCCCCCCCCCCTTCACTCTGGCCCAGGGCAGCAGTTGGTGCTGGGGGGGAGGGGTTCCCAACTGATGATATAAGCAGGAGACAAGGTGGAACTGTCCCCTGCCCCCACTCTTCACTCTGGCCCAGGGCGGCAGTTGGTGCTGGGGGGAAGGGGTTCCCAACTGATGAAATGTGCAGGAGACGAGGTGGAACTGTCCCCTGCCCCCCCCCTTTCACTCTGGCCCAGGGCGGCAGTTGGTGCTGGGGGGAGGGCTTCCCAACTGATGACATGTGCAGGAGACAAGGTGGAACTGTCCCCTGCCCCCCCCTTTCACTCTGGCCCAGGGCAGCAGTTGGTGCTGGGGGGGAGGGCTTCCCAACTGATGACATGTGCAGGAGACAAGGTGGAACTGTCCCCTGCCCCCCCCTTTCACTCTGGCCCAGGGCGGCAGTTGGTGCTGGGGGGGAGGGGTTCCCAACGGATGGCATGTGCAGGAGACAAGGTGGAACTGTCCCCTCCCCCCTTCACTCTGGCCCAGGGGGCAGTTGGTGCTGGGGGGGGGGTTCCCCAATACATGACATATGCAGGAGACAAGGTGGAACTGTCCCTTGCCCCCCCTTCACTCTGGCCCACGGCGGCAGTTGGTGCTGGGGGGGAGGGGTTCCTAACTGATGACATATGCAGGAGACAAAATGGAACTGTCCCCTGCCCCCCTCTCTTCACTCTGGCCCAGAGCAGCAGTTGGTGCTGGGGGGAGGGGTTCCCAACTGATGACATATGCAGGAGACAAGGTGGAACTGTCCCTTGCCCCCCCTTCACTCTGGCCCACGGCGGCAGTTGGTGCTGGGGGGGAGGGGTTCCCAACTGATGACATATGCAGGAGACAAGGTGGAACTGTCCCTTGCCCTCTCTTCACTCTGGCCCAGAGCGGCAGTTGGTGCTGGGGGGAGGGGTTCCCAACTGATGACATATGCAGGAGACAAGATGGAACTGTCCCCTGCCCCCCCTTCACTCTGGCCCAGGGCGGCAGTTGGTGCTTGGGGGGAGGGGTTCCCAACGGATGACATGTGCAGGAGACAAGGTGGAACTGTCCCCTGCCCCCCCCTTCACTCTGGCCCAGGGCGGCAGTTGGTGCTGGGGGGGAGGGGTTCCCAACGGATGACATGTGCAGGAGACAAGGTGGAACTGTCCCCTGCCCCTTCACTCTGGCCCAGGGCGGCAGTTGGTGCTGGGGGGGAGGGGTTCCCAACTGATGACATATGCAGGAGACAAGGTGGAACTGTCCCTTGCCCCCCCTTCACTCTGGCCCAGGGCGGCAGTTGGTGCTTGGGGGAGGGGTTCCCACTGACATATGCAGGAGACAGGTGGGACTGTCCCCTGCCCCCCCCTTTCATTCTGGCCCAGGGCGGCAGTTGGTGCTGGGGGGGAGGGGTTCCCAATGGATGACATGTGCAGGAGACAAGGTGGGACTGTCCCCTGCCCCCCCCCCTTCACTCTGGCCCAGGGCGGCAGTTGGTGCTGGGGGGGGGGTCCCAACTGATGACATATGCAGGAGACAAGATGGAACTGTCCCCTGGCCCCCTCTCTTCACTCTGGCCCAGAGCGGCAGTTGGTGCTGGGGGGGAGGGGTCCCCAACTGATGACATATGCAGGAGACAAGATGGAACTGTCCCCTGCCCCCCCCTTGACTCTTGCCCAGGGCGGCAGTTGGTGCTTGGGGGGAGGGGTTCCCAACTGATGACATATGCAGGGGACAAGGGTGTATACCTACCTACACATACACACAGGGATTATCTATTAATCTGAGTGTAAAGGTAAAGATTTTCCCCGACATTAAGTCCAGTCATGTCCGACTCTGGGGTTTGGTGCTCATCTCCATTTCTAAGCCGAAGAGCCAGCGTTCTCTGTAGAGACCTCCAAGGTTTTGTGGCCTGCATGACTGCATGGAGCACCGTTACCTTCCCGCCTGATCTACCTATTGATCTACTCATATTTGCATGTTTTCGAACTGCTAGGTTGGCAGAAGCTGGGGCTAACAGCGGGTGCTCATGCCGCTTCCCGGATTTGAACCTGCGACCTTTTGGTCAGCAAGTTCAGCAGCTCAGTGCTTTAACCCGATACGCCACCAGGGCTCTGGAGCCCCTGGTGGCGCAGTGGATTAAACCCTTGTGCCGGCAGGACTGAAGATCAACAGGTTGCAGGTTCAAATCCGAGAGGCGGATGAGCTCCCTCTATCAGCTCCAGCTCCTCATGCGGGGACATGAGAAAAGCTTCCCACAAGGATGATAAAAACATCAAATTCTCTTACACCAGAAGCGACTTGCAGTTTCTCAAGTCGCTCCTGACACGACCAAACCGGGGGCTCTAATCTGTGTATCTCTCTCTCTCTATATATATATATACACACACACACACAATACATGTGTGTGTGTAGTATATATATCTTATCTATATATAAATAAAAATGTAATGTTCAAAAAGCATTGGACGAATTGACAGCAAATTTGGACACAATACACCTATTAGGCCAACGAGTGATGATCACTCATAAAAACACTGAAAAACACAGCGGAAGAGACTTAAAAGGCCAAAAATAAAAAAATACATTACAACACATGTGCAAAACCACACATATATATACGCAAACACACATATATATACACACAAAGAACATATATACAGACTGGATCAGAGCAACGCGTGGCAAGGGACAGCTAGTATTATATATATTACTAATCTGAGTGTATACACACACACACACATATAGGGATATCTAGTAATCTGAAAACGAATGTTTTATACTGTATTCTGTGTATTGTCTAATCTGTTTAATGCTATTGTTTTTTTTCCCTTTTACATGGATTGTCCCATATTTTGCATATATTCTTCATTGTATGGATCTGTGCCGTCAGCCACCCTGAGACCTTTCTTGGAGATGGGGCGGGATAGAAATAAAGGTGATTTTTCTTCTTAATATAAAACATGGGAAATGCTTGTGGGGGAGAGGGAGGGCCGGCTAGAAATAATAATAATCGTCCCTATCATATTAATTGCCTGTGAAAGGGGGGGGGGGGGTCAAGGCTTTCCTTCCGCAATGCCATGGAAAAGAGCAGGGAGGGAACAAGGGAGTGGGGGACGCACCTTTCGATCATAACAAGTGGAATTTGCTGCCAGTCTTTTCCCCCAAGACACTACTACGCCCATCCTCCCCTTCTCCTTTCTTCTTGGACCAGCAAGGAGAATAAGGACTGGCCTCCAAGGCAACACTTCCTGCCTCCTCCTCCTCCTCCCTGCCTGTATCCCATGGAGGAGGAGGATGCTCTGCCATGCTGCAGCCCAAGAGAGGGAGGGAGGGCAGCTTTGCCCGCCTGAGGAGGATGGGTGGGCCAAAAGGCCCTTCTGCAGCCATCTTCTGCGGCCTCCCCTGGTCCAGAAACAGAGGCATACAAACCCCTTTGTGTTGCCATGGCAATGGACCATTGCATAATAATTATTATTCTTCTATGGCCACAATGTCCTCCCTTACAAAAAAAAAGGAAGGAAAGAGAGGGAGGGTGGAAAGGGGGAAGGAAGCAATAACGGAGGAAGGAAAGGGGGAAGGAAAGAAGGAAGGAAGGAGTGAAGGAAGGGCGTGAAGAGAGGAAAGGAAGGAAAAGAACAGAGGGAGAAACAGGGGAAGGAAGGAAGTAGAGAGAGGGAAGGTAGGAAGAAAAGGAAGGAAGGCAGGAAAGGAGGGATGGAGGGAGGAAAGGGGAGGGAGGGAAGGAAGGGAAGGAAGAGGGGGAAGAGAGAGGAAAGGAAGGGAAAGAAAGGAAGAAAGAGAAAGGAAAAAGGGGAAGGAAGGAAGGAAGAAGGAAAAAGGAAAGAGGAAAAGAGGAAGAAAAGGAAGGAAAGGGGGAACAAAGGAAGAAAAGGAAAGAGAAAGTAAAGAGAGACGGAGGAAGAAAGGGGGAAGAAAGAAGGAAGGAGAGAGAGGAAGGAAAAGAAGAAAGGGGGTTGGAAAGGGGTAATGAAGGAAGGGAGGGATGGAGGAAGGGAGAGGAGGGGGAGGAAAGGGGGAGGAAAGGAAGGAGAAGGAGGAGGAAGGGGGAAGGAAGGAGGAAGGAAGGGGAGAGAGAGGGAAGAAGGAAGGAAAGAGAAAGAAGGAAGAAGGGAGGAAGGGGAAGGAAGGAAAGGAAAAGAGGAAGTGAAGACGGGAGGGAGGAAAGGAGAAAGGAAAGAAGGAAAGAAAAAAGGAGGGGAAGAGGAAAGAAAGAGGGGGGAAGGGAAGGAAAGAGGAAGAAAAAGAGGAAGGAAGAGAGGGAGGGAGAAAGGAAAAGAAAAGAAGAAAGGAGGAAGAAAGGAAGGAAAGAAAAAAGGAAGGAAAGGAGGAAAAAGAAAAAAGAAAGGGGAAGGAGGAAGAAGGAAAGGAAGGAGGAAGAAAGAAAAAGAAGGAGGGAAAAAAAGAGAAAAGAAGGAAAGAGGGAAGGAGAGCAAGCAAGCAAGCAAGCAAGCAAGCAGGCAGGCAGGCAGGCAGGCAGGCAGGCAGGCAGGCAGGCAGGCAGGCAGGCAGGCAGGCAGGGAAGGAAGGAAGGAAGGAAGGAAGGAAGGAAGGAAGGAAGGAAGGAAGGAAGGAAGGAAGGAAGAAGAAGGAAGGAAGGAAGGAAGGAAGGAAGGAAGGAAAAATTAAGGAAGGAATTAGGAAAGGAAGGAAAAGAGAAAAGGGAGGAAAGGAGGAAGGAAGATAGAACCTATGATTCTCCTTTTAAACAAAAGAAGGAAAAAGAAAGAAAGGAGGATGGGAGGGAGGGAGGAAGGGAGGGAGGTAAGAATGAGAGGAAAAGGAAAGAAGGGAAAGGCAGGGAAAGGAGAAGGGAGCGAAGGGGAAAAAAAAGATAGATAGAGCAACTCTTCCTGGAAAAAAAAGACGGACAGGCGGCCAAGCGGCTCAAGGAAAGCAGACCACTGGGACGACTTGCCTCTTTGACATGTTTTATTTCAACTGGTGCAGAATAGTGAACAGAGAGAGGCCCATTAAGCACTGAAGGTGGGCAACACATCTGGGGGTGGGGATGTGTTTTCTTCCGGAAGAGATTCCTCCAGAAGAAAACAAACAAGTAAACAATGCTTTAATTCTATATAAAACGCACAGAACATGAACAGGAGCCATCGAATGCAAGGAGGGGAAACACAGGCGGAGGAGGAGGCGGCAGCGGCGGCCCTGGAATGTAAGGACCTGCCATATTCATTTGGAGCTGTTCTTGTTTTTTTCCTGTCCTTTTCCGTTTGTAGAAAAAAATATGTATATACATATACAAAAAATCAACACTGAAGAGAAAAACAACACACACACAGAAAAAGGCTTTAGTGTCACATTGCAAACAATGCGGGGAGACTGTGGGTGCATCTCCCCCTCCCCGACTTTCCTTCAAAAGGGAGCTTGCAACAGAAGAAAGAGGTAGAAGGAGGAAAGGGAAGAAAGGGAGGGATGGACTGCTCTGTTGCAGTTTGTGGAAGGGGGGGGGGTCAATAAAAGGGGCGGGCCCTCCATTGGTTTCATTGGGCTCTCGCTGGCCTTGAAAGAGAACTGAATGGGAGGAAAGAAGGTGCAATGGAGGAGGAGGAGGGAAGGGAAGAGGGAAGGAAAGGTGGAAAAAGGAAAGGAAGACAAGAGGAGGGAAAGAAGGAAGGATAAAAGGAAGGAAAAGAAAGGGAGAGAAAGGTGGAGAAGGGAAAGGAAAGAAGGGAAAGGAAGTCAAAAGGAAGGAAAAGATAAAAAAAGGAAAGGGGAGGAAGAAGTGGAAAAGGGAAAGGAAGAATAAAAGGAAGGAAGGAAAGGGAGGGGAAGGTGGAGAAAGGAGGGAAGGAAAAAGAAGGCAAAAGGAAGGAAGAAGAAGAGGAAAAGGAAAAGAGGGGAGGGGAGGGGGGAAGGAAGGAAAAGGAAGGAAGAAGGGAAAGGAAGGAAGAAAGGAAGTCAAAAGGAAGGAAAAGGAAAAGATAAAAAAGGAAAGGGAAGGAAGAAGAGGAGAAGGGAAAGGAAGAATAAAAGGAAGGAAAGGGAGGGAAGGTGGAGAAGGGAGGGAAGGAAAAAGAAGGGAAGAAGAAAGAAGAAAAGGAAAAGAGGGGAGGGGAGGGGGGAAGGAAGGAAAAGGAAGGAAGAAGGGAAAGGAAGCAAGGGAAAGGATGTCAAAAGGAAGGAAAAGGAAAAGATTAAAAAAGGGAAGGGAAGAAGTGGAGAAGGGAAAGGAAGAATAAAAGGAAGGAAGGAAAGGGAGGGGAAGGTGGGGAAGGGAGGGAAGGAAAAAGAAGGCAAAAGGAAGGAAGAAGAAAGAAGAGGAAAAGGAAAAGAGGGGAGGGGAGGGTAGAAGGAAGGAAAAGGAAGGAAGAAGGGAAAGGAAGGAAGGGAAAGGAAGTCAAAAGGAAGGATGTACTAGTATTTAAAAAACTCTCAATAAAAATTATTATAAAAAAAAAGGAAGGAAAAGGAAAAGATGAAAAAGGAAAGGGAAGGAAGAAGTGGAGAAGGGAAAGGAAGAATAAAAGGAAGGAAGGAAAGGGAGGGGAAGGTGGAGAAGGGAGGGAAGGAAAAAGAAGGCAAAAGGAAGGAAGAAGAAAGAAGAGGAAAAGGAAAAGAGGGGAGGGGAGGGAGGGGAGGAAGGAAAAGGTGAATAAGGGAAAGGAAGAGAAGAGGATGGAAAGAATGAAGGGGCAAAGGAAAAGATAAAAAGAAGAAAAGGAAAGGGAGGGAAGAAGGAAAATGTGGGGAAGGGAGGATGAAGGGAAAAGAAGGCAAAAAAGGGAATGAAGGAAAACGAAGGAAGGAAGGTGGAAGAAAAGAAAGAAAAGGATAGACCAGGCATGGCCGAACTTTGGCCTCCCTCCTGACGTTTTGGACTTCAACTCCCACAATTCCTAGTAGCCTACTGGCTTTTAGAAAGTGTTGAAATCCAAAACACCTGGAGGGAGGCCAATGCCTGGGATAGATGGACAGAAGGAAAGGGAAGGGAAAGGGAAAAGGAAAGGGAAAGGAACAGTGGAAAGAAGATTCCTTTAAAACTTGGAGGGGCCTGGTCACCAAGGCCCCCTTCTAAAAAACATTGATGTGTGTGTCTGTATGTGTGTGGTGAGGGGTACCCTGTTTCCCAACCTCATGAAAAACACCCTCCCCCCAAACCAAGGGAGGGGCCCAAGGGCCTTCTTCTGGAAAGCATGTGTTCTTGGCTCTGGAGGCAGAGCATACAACGTAACCAGGGAGGGAGCAGGGCCGATCCATAACTGGCAAATCAGAATTCGACTTTGCAGGCGGGGAAGGTCTCATCCTGCATGGCCACGGTGCTGTTGCTGCCCAGGACAGTGACGCCTAGCGCTTGCTGCCGCTCCAGGGTCTCCGTGTACCAATTGTGCATGGCCGCCGAGTCAAAGGTCGGGATCAGGGTCACCTGAGGTCAGAGAGAGAAACAGAGAGAGAGAGAGAGAGTCAGGGATCATCCAAGGGGAGAAGCCTTGAAATATCATCATCATCATAAATAGAATAATAATAATCTATAGGTAAAGGTTTTCCCCTGACATTAAGTCCTGTCGTGTCTGACTCTGGGATGTGGTGCTCATCTCCATTTCTAAGCTGAAGAGCCAGCATTGTCTGTAGACACCTCCAAGGTCATGTGGCTGGCATGACTGCATGGAGTGCCGTTACCTTCCCGCCGGAGCGGTACCTATTGATCTACTCACATTTGCATATTTTCAAAATGCTAGGTTGGCAGAAGTTGGGGCTAGCAGGGGAAGCTCACACCACTCCCTGTGAGCTTGTGATCTTTCGGTCAACAAGCTCAGCAGCTCAGTGCTTTAACCCACTGCACTACCGGGTGCTCCATCTATCTATACATATAATGAAAGTGAAAAATGTGTGTGCGTGTATATGGTGGAGGTGTCCATTTCCACGGATAGCCTCCAAACAGGCCATAGTTCCAAGTGCTGAGAAGCCTCCAAAGACACTCCCTCCACTGACATTGCAGGTTAGAGCGAACACCATGAACATGTCGCCCAAACCCTGCTAATGTCCTCCCCAAACACCATATTGCCTGCCACCTAAGGAATACTGTCATTCGGCAAGGATTTCATCCCAGATTTGACATGTTTTCTCCACCACAGGCAGGCATCCCAGCGTTCCTTGTGTGGAATTTGCATGACCCCACCCAATGCCTCTCCTTTAACTCTTTCCTATCCTTTCCTAAGGCACACAGCAAGCACAGGAGGAGCCCCCGGTGGCGCAGTGGGTTACACCCCTGTGCCGGCAGGACTGAAGACCGACAGGTCGCAGGTTCGAATCCGGGGAGAGGTGGATGAGCTCCCTCTATCAGCTCCAGCTCCTCATACGGGCACATGAGAGAAGCCTCCCACAAGGATGATAAAAACATCAATTCATCTGGGCGTCCCCTGGGCAACGTCCTTGCAGATGGCCAATTCTCTCACACCAGAAGCGACTTGCAGTTTCTCAAGTTGCTCCTGACACGACAAAAAAACCAAAAAAAAAAAAAAAAACAGCAAGCACAGAGAAATTGATCTGCAACTGAACAGACTGAAGGGGTTTGGGGACTGACTCAACAGTTGTAGCTCACCCTGCATCAAGGCAGAGCACTGTGACCCCCTTCGATATTGGACCTGGACCACATCTGATACGCAGAACCCCCATGATCAGGTTTGGGGGAATTGACCTTGATTTATAGGAGTTGTAGTAATAATAATAGCATTTTCTATAATAATAGTATTTTCTATAATAGTATTTACTATAATGATGATGACAATGCTATAAGGATAATGTTAATACTATAATAATAATAATAATAATAATAATAATAATGATACATTAACAGCAATAAAAACAAAATAATGAAAATGATAAAAATAAAAGTATAATGTTGTAATATTATGATAATAAAATGATACAATAACAGCAATAACAAAATAATGATAATAATATAAGGAAAATGATAATGCTATAAACATCATAATAATCATTATCATCATAATGATATGAATAATTATTACTCAAGGTGTTTGGCTTTCTGTCTACATGAAGTGGTCACATTCTCCACCTCCTTTCCCCCAAAAGTGTGCTTTATGACCCTTTGTTTTGTGTGTGTGTGTACATACATATATGAGCGATAGGTTCAATATCATAGATTTAGAAGGGCCACCCAAAGGCCACCCAGCCCAGCCCCGTTCTGAATTCAGCCATGGCCAATGTGCACCTGTTGGAAATTGCAATCTTCTTCAAGCCCACTCTAGATATTTGTTTGTATATAATCCTGTTGCTTACTTATTGTATGTATGTCTTGTAATGCAGCTTTCCTTACTCTATGTTTCTTTTTGTGGGAGGGGCTACAAACCACATGATTAGGCTCTGAGACTGCTCAGACCTCAGACTCCATTAGACTTTGGGACTGTTTAGACCAGTGTTTCTCAACCTGGGGGTCGGGACCCCTGGAGGGGTCGCCAGGAGATGCCAGAGGGGTCACCAAAGTCCATCAGAAAACACAGTATTTTCTGTTGGTCATGGGGGTTCTGTGTGGGAGGTTTGGCCCAATTCTATCATTGGTGGGGTTCAGAATGCTTTTTGATTGTAGGTGAACTATACATCCCAGCAACTACAACTCCCAAATGTCATGGCCTATTTTCCTCACACTCCACCAGTGTTCACGTTATCATACTGAGTATTCCTGCCAAGTTTGGTCCAGATCCATCATTGTTTGAGTCCACAGTTCTCTCTGTAGGTGAACTACAACTCCCAAACTCCAGGTCAATGCCCACCAAACCCTTCCAGTGTTTTCTGTTGGTCATGGGCATTCTGTGTGCCAAGTTTGGTTCAATTCCATCGTTGGTGGAGTTCAGAATACTCTTTGATTGTAGGTGAACCATAAATCCCAACAACTACAACTCCCAAATTATGTTTCATAACAGGAGCAAAATTGCAGTTATGAAGCAGCAAAAGAATGTTATGGTTGGGGGTCACCACAACATGAGGAACTGTATTAAGGGGTCGCGGCATTAGGAAGGTTGAGAAACACTGGTTTAGACCAACACTTGCCTGCTCTTGATTCTAACAGAGATGCCCCAGGCCATCAGCACACAGAAACTATCTCAAACATATCTGTAACTGGTTATGGTTATTAATGCCATTTTCCAAAAGCACCTGTGTGTCGTGGGGCCAGTGCTGCTTCCCGGCCAGGAGAGCGTCCAGCAGGCCCCGCATGGCCCCCTCCTTGAGCTGATCCTGCCCGCTGATGATGTAGCACTGGGAGCGGACGCTGCGGAAGAAGCCCTCGTCCACCCGCTGTGCACTGGCTGCCCCGGGCAGGTAGGCCAGCTCCAGGTAGACTGGGGAGCCAGTAGCCGGGACTGAGCGCGAGCCTGCAAGGGGACGACAGTGAAGACAAAGAGTCAAAGGGCAGTATGTCAGGCACCCTAGACCTACATATCACTCTATCAATGCAGCCGAGGATTGCATTGGCCTCTCTAGCTGCTGCATCACACTCCTGGCTTATGATGATAATAATACAATAATAATACTGTAGTAATAATAATAACAACATAGGCCCCTTTCCCATTATCATAAGCTCCTGTTCAGCCTATGATAATGATAATAATAATACAATAACAACTTAGGCCCTTTCCCATGGCGTTCCCAAGCCCATTCCCTCTATATCTCCATATAACCCTATTGATGCAGCCTAGGATCATGTTGGGCTCTCTAGCTGCCGCATCTCACTTCTGGCTCATGTTCAGCTTATAATAATAAAATAATAATAATAATAATAATAATAATAATAATAATAATAATAATAATATAACAACAACATAGGCCCCTTTCCCATTATACTAAGCTCATGTTCAGCTGGTGAGAATGATAATACAGTTAACAGCAGCAGCAGCAAAGGCCCCCTTCCCATGGAGTGTTCTCAAGCCGGGTTCCTCCCATTCATCCTATATCATAAGTTAATGCTCAGCTTACGATAATGATAACAATAATACAATAATAGTAATAACAACAACAACATAGGCCCCTTTCCCAAGGTGTTCCCAAGCCCATTCCCCCTATATCTCTATGTAACCCTATTGATGCAGCTTAGGATGGCATCTGCCTCTCTAGCTCAGGTCTGGGCAAACTTCGGCCCTCCAGATGTTTTGGACTTCAACTCTCACAATTGGGAGAGGGCCTGAGTTTGCCCAACTTGGAGGGCCAAAGTTTGCCCAGGCCTGCTATAGCTGCTGCATCACACTGTTGACTCATGTCCAGCTTTTGGTCTGCCATGATGCCTAGGCCTCTTTCCCACAGTGTTCACAAGCCGTCCCCACCCCCAATCCCATCCTCCCATTGGTTCCTGCACTGCTCACCTGAGAGAGAGGATCTTCTGGCGGATTGGGATCCCCTGTTGGCAGGTCCCCGCTGCCCCTGGAGGAGGGAGGCCTTCCCGTCCCCGCTCGCCCGCCCGCCGAGGGCTTGTGTCTTGCTGCCGCCGCCAGTAGAAGTCCTGGTCCGCTCCCCTGGGCCAGTGGAGGACGGCTTCGCACGGCCAGTGGGGCCAGCAGAGGCGGTCCTCCCTTTGGCTGGGGCTGACTTCACCCTGCCCTTGTTCCTCTCGGGGTCGGCCATGCAGAGACCTGGCGGGGCGGCCAGCGGGCGGGGGTCCTTCAGGACAGCAGGCAGTGGGTCGCGGGCCACTCTGGCCAGGCCGTCCTCCTCGTCGTCCTCAGAGTCCATCCCGGCAGCCAGGGGCAGGTCAGAATCCGAGAGGGTGGGCAGCGACTCGCTGATGGAGGTGGGCGTGGTCTCGGTCGGACGCCGGCCTCGGGATGCCTTGCTGCCAGTCATCTCCTGGGAGCCCCCGCTGCTGTTGGAGCGTTCTGACTTGGGATGCTCAAACTCACAGGGGGAGACCAGGCAGAGGTCAACGTCATGGGGTGGGCGTAGGGGCAGGGCCAGGCCGGCCTTGACTTTGGGGTCCGGCTCTCCTATGGCCACCACAACGGCCTCCTCCTCGCTGACTGGGGGCAGGACCTGCTCGAAGGAGACGGAGAGGGACTCATCTACCTCGGTGGAGTGCGGGGAGCCCACCTCGGCCGGCAGTGATGGGGTGGTCAGGGTTGGGGAGGCATCATTGTTCTCGTGGAAGGCAGCCCCCGGAGAGAGGCGGCCCCCGGACAGCCCCCCTGAGGGCCTCTCCTGGAAGAAGGAGAAGGAGTTGGAGGAGTCAGAGTGGGAGGAGGCAGAGTTGTCATTGCGGCCGCCGTTGAGGACGACGATGACACGCTCCTCGGCTGGAGAGAAGGGCAGCGGGGAGGGACCAGAGGGGCTCCCAGGGGACATCATCTCCAGGGTCTTCTCCTCAGAACTGCCCCCCACTCCGCCGCCCTCCTCCCCCTCCCCCATCTCCAGCGGGCCACTTCGATCCAGGCTCTGGGGAGTCTGGGGCAGTGGTGAAGGGGGGCTGAGGGTGTCCCGGAGCAGGGACGGGGGCTCTCCGCTGGTACTGCGCTGCCGCAAGGCCTGAGGGCTTTCCGCTTCAGGAACTGTGTCCTGGAGGAGGGGCTCAGTGGGGGAGGGCTCTGGCCTACTGAAGGCCGGAGTGACAACCATGCCCTCGTCGGTGGACAGACCACTGGCCTCCTCAGGTGGGTTCTCAGGAGAGGCCTCAGAGCCCTCCGCAGGGGCTCTTTTGGGGGGCGCCTTGCCCTTCAGCCTCTCTGCCTCTTTCTTTGGGGAAGGGGCTGCGGCCTTCTTGAGGCTAGTGCCCCCCAACTTGGCGCCGGAGGAGACCCGCTTCTCCTTGGCGGGCGGCTTGGCCTCCTTCCTGGGCTCCTCCTTCTTGGGGGCTTCTCTCCGGAGGGATTCTCCCTTCCTGTCCTCTTTCTTGGGGGCCTCTCTCCGGAGGGCTTCTACCTTCCCGTTCTCCTTCTTGGGGGCCTCTTTCCGAAGGGCTTCTACCTTCCCGTTCTCCTTCTTGGGGGCGTCTTTCCGAAGGGCTTCTGGCTTCCCGTCCTCCTTCTTGGGGGCGTCTTTCCGAAGGAGTTCTGGCTTCCCGTTCTCCTTCTTGGGGGCGTCTTTCCGAAGGGCTTCTGGCTTCCCGTTCTCCTTCTTGGGGGCGTCTTTCCGAAGGGCTTCTGGCTTCCCTTCTGGCTTCCCTTCTGGCTTCTTGGGGAGCTTCACCTCCTTCTTCTGAGCCTCCTTTTCCAGGGTGCCTTCTTCTTTGGAAGTTGGTTTCTTGGCCTCCTTCTTGACCACCGGCTGCTTCTCCTTGGGCTTCTCCTTTGGATGGGCGTCCTGTGGAAGCTCCTCCTCTTTTGTCTCCTCCTTGAGGGGCTCCACTTTCTCTTTCTCCTTCTCCTCCTCCTTGGGGAGCTCCTTCTTTTCCTTGGGGCTGGAAAGGCTGGACCCTGAGCGCAGGCTCTCCTGGCTGCCGCCACCTGGCCTCCTCCATCCCTGATTGTCCAGGTCGCCCTGAGTGACCAACGGGTGCCGCAGGAAGTCCAGGTGCCGGACCTTCTCCAGCCCCTCCAGGACACGGCTCTGTGGGGTGCAGCCAGGAAAGAGGACCCGCACCAGCTTCTCAGAGGGGCTGGCCGGGTGCCAGACTAGCAGGACACAGACGGAGGTCAGGCAGGGCAAGGGAAGTGCCTCCAGGCCCTTGGGCAGGGGGCCGCCGGCCCACTCTTTCCGCAGGAAGTCCAACTCTTTGCTGCCCTTGATTGGGTGCAGCACAAACATATCCAGCCGGCCCACACCCATCTTCTCAAAAAGGACGGTAGGCTCCACTTTCGGGCCGGGACCCCTGGAGAGGGGCAGCGGCCGGACGCCGAGGCGGTCAAGGCAGTGCAGGGTGAGGCGGGCCTCGTCACAGCTCCGCAGCAGCGCTGTTCCCAAAATCGGCTCATCCTCCTTGAGGCCCCGCAGCTTCTCCGCGGCATTGAGGAAGACCACCCCCAGTTCCGGCGAGATAAGGTTCCGGGCACATTCACCGCCCACTTCGCAAGGGAGGCCCTCCTGCTCTGCCACTGCCTCCATCTCGGACAGTTTCCGCTGCAGGAGGCTGTTAACCCCAGGGAGGTTGTCGGTGCCCAGGTGGGTGACCAGCAGGGCATCCACGCGGTCCAGGTGCCGCACCAGCTTCCAGAAGGAGGAGCGGGGGTCGGAGCCACCATCCACCAGCACGTTGAAGCCGTTAACAGCAAAGAAGGCTGCATCGCCACGCCCGCCGGGGAAGACGTAGCAGCAGGGCCGCGCCAGGCGCAGGAAGCCCACTGCCCCGGGCGGCTCCAGCAGGTCGAAGGGTGAGGGCGGCTCCAGCGACTCCGAGAGGTACTCCAGGAACTCCCCCAGGCCCTCCATTCCCGCCGGCAGCACCAGGCCCGGGTTGAAGCGAAGCTCCAGATGCCCCTCCAGCTCCAGGAGGCTCTGGCCAGGGTCCCACCACTCCGGACAGACCACCGTCAGGCGTGGCCGGGCGGACGCTGAGCCCAGCAGCTCCCCCACCTAGATAGGAACAGGAGGCGGTGGTCAGCACAGAAAAGAGGGCTGTGGGGCTTAGGAAGGACTTCACCAGGGGGACCCTCTGCCTCAGTCCAGTGGAAGCTCCTTCTCCTGAGGTTGGATGGCCATCTGTTGGGGGGGGGACGGAGGGGGGCTTTGATTGTGCTTTTTGTGTAAGAAGGCAGAAATGGGTTGGACTGGCTGGCTCTTGGGTGGTCCCTTCCAACTCTAGGATTCTATGATTCACAGAATACGAATCAATGACTAGGACTCAGTGGAGCCATGGGTTCAAATGACAGGAACTGAGATTCCGTCTGAACCTGCATAATGGCAGAAGGGGCCTTCTTTAAGGTTTCTTTCAACTATACAATGTTATGATTTTGCAGGACCGCTTCCTTCCTTCCTTCCCTTCCTTCCCACAGTCCCACCAACAATGCATCTGGACCAAAATGGGCACACAGGCGGAAAGTCCCAGCCAGGGTTCTGGGCTCCAAGGCGAAATAATAAGAATAATAATAAACTTTATTCATACCCCACCACCATCTCCCAGAGGGACTTGGGGCAGCTTACAACAATAATCATGTAAAGTGCTTGATGAAATCTATGGGAAAGCAACTCCTCCCCTCCCCAAATGCAAGGGGATCCCAATGGAGTCTGAACGGAAGAAAGGAAAGAAGGAAGGAAGAAAGGGGCATCTTGAGAAGTTCACCTCCTTGTCAGCCAGGACCTGGAGGAAGTCCTGGAGGGAGAAGGAGCCCCTCTGCAGGACCAGCTCCCCGGTCTCCTCCACAAAGGGTCCAGCAAAGACCACCAGCTTGTTTCGCGAACGGTCTGTGACCAGGTTGCGGAGCTGGAAAAAAAAAAGCAAGTAAAAGAAAGAATGATTAACCAATGAGATGTCAGAAATACTGAAAATTAACTAGGTATTTTAATTACAAAAATGTGAGTCAAGCACTGAAAGGGTTAAATTGATACACTGACTCATCAAAAGTTGCAGTTCAATATAAGCCGGTGTGCCTGTAGCTTAGTAGCCCTCAGTCTGTGAGAGGTCTCTGTGGAAGAAGGGCCTTAGTGTGTTAGTAACCCTCAGTGTTAGTTCGTCTCAGTGTGAGAGAGGCTCCGGTCTGAGATAGCCGTCAGTGTTAGCAGACCTCAGTGAGAGTAGGCCTCAGCAGGAAAAAGGCCTGGAGTGAGAAGCTTCGATGAAAGAAGGCCCAGGTTGAAGGCCATCATGTGTAAAACTGCTGTGTGAAGCTCCTGTGTAACTTCGGTGTGAGAAGAGGCTCTATGAGAGTGAAACTGTTTATGTGCATTAGAAAGAAGCCCAGCGTGGAAGCGAAGAGGGAAGTATAAAGAGCTTTATTTGTGTTACGGAAACCTAGTTCTTGTAAATAGTGCAATCATATTATTTCACCACAAAGAAAAGCCTCCTAAGGAAGAGATAATATTGGTCCGTGTGTTTTTGTTCTTTTTATCACTTTGGGCTACTGGTGCTGGGTCACGCTGCTGCTAATAAGCTACTCTGCTGTATGAGGAGGGTCTTTTCTTAATAAGCACAGCGCCCAACAGGAGACGGCCAGCGAGCACAGGCGGGACAGCAGACCTCACTCCTCGGGCCCTTCTTGTGGTGTTGAGAGTGAAGCGCCTCACCTCATCACAAACGGATGTGTCCGCAGGGTTCAACAGCACCAGGGCCTCCAGTACGTCTCCACGGTGATGAAGGGCCCGCTGACCTGCAGGGGCCAAAGCAGAGGAGAGAGGTGGGCATCACCCCACTCAAGTCTGCAGTCCTCAATGAGAAGAAGATACGCAGAATCAAGATGGCTGAGGGAACCCCTCCTTTCCCCCTCATTTCTGTTGCCATGCCTGTGTACTCTCTCTCTCCTTTCTCCTGCCATCCCATTGTTATTTACTACTATAATTATTATCAGTATTACTACTACTATTATTATTGTAGTAATTATTACTATAATATGTTATTATGGTTTTATTACTATGATTCCACTCTTAAAAGAGACTAGCTGTATTTATTATAATATTACTACTATTACTATTGTTACTAGTAGTATTACATAGTATTGTTACTTCTATTTTATTATTACTATTACAAGCATCACTATGTTATTATATTATTGGTATTTATTATTTACTAGCTTGGGGACCCTGCGCTGCACAGGTTTTTTAAGAAAGGAATTGTGTATCAAGGTTGGTCATTATCAGTTATTTTTATGGCTCACAGTGTTCTCAGGAAGTTAGTGAAGGTACTGCAAGTCCCATCATCTTTGGTCCATCCTCCTCCAAAGTGCACCAGGACGGAGAGTGGGTCATGGGGACTCTGTGTGCCAAGTTTGGTCTTGATCAGTCAATAGATGAGGGTTGCAGCAGTCTTGGGAAGTGAGTGGAGGTACCTGAAGTCCCATCATCCATAGTTTGTTCTCCCCCAAACCTCACCAGAATGTTGAGTTGGCCATGGGCGTTCTCTGTGCCAATTTTGGTCTTTATTTGGATGAGTGTCGCTGTGGTTTCAGGAAGTGAGTGAAGGTACTGCAAGTCCCATCATCCATCGTCTGTCCTTCCCATAACTCAATATGGGAGAGCTTTCTGGGAGTTGAAATGTGTAGAAATAAGTGTGTGTATATACACATACACACTTATATACATACAGAATCCCTCCCCTGCGAGTTCCCAGCAGCCCAATGGAGGTGCCCAGAGCCCCGAGTCTCAGGCAGCCATGAGGGAAAGGAAAGGGAGGGGGTGGATCTGGAGAAGTGTGTTTTCTCTCTCTCTCTCTCTCTCTTTCTCGCTCAATCCTTCCTTCCATCCTTTCTTTCTCCCCTCCATCTCATGTTGGGCTTTTTAAAATGCCCAAGTAGAAATGCAATGGGAGAAAGGAAGGAAGGCAAGCAGGCAGCAACTCCAGGAGGAAGAGCAGGCTGGCTCTAGGTGTAAGGAGGAAGAGGATGCCGCCTCTCTTTCTCTATTGGCTGGCAAGGAGGTGAAATGCTTTGGACCAGAAGTGTTTGGGAGGGGAGAGGCAGGGGCTAGCAAAAGGGAAAGATGGGCCACCTTTTCCTCCCTCTCTCAAGCCACCTGTCTCTCAGCTGTTGTTTTTTTTTTCTCCTCGTGCAGGAGGGAGGGACGAGGGAGGGTGTTCTTTTAACGCATGCTCTGTATAGTCATTTAGGCTTGTGGGGGGTTAAGTTCTTTCCAGTTAATTTTTTTGTTTTTTTGAGTGAAGGACATAGATTGCTTTGGTTGGTGTCTTGGGTCCAAATTTGGGGTCAATTTGCCCAGCGGTTTTTGAGTTCTGTTAATCCCACAAATGAACATTACATTTTATTTATATTTACTAGCTTGGGGACTCGGCAGTGCTCGGGTTATTTGACAAAGGCATTGCTGATCCAAATTTAGTCTAGATCCCATGTGAACTACAACTCCCATATGCAAGTCCCATTGTCCCATCATCCCATCGTCCATTCTCACCTTCTCCCTTCCCACCTGTTTCCCTCACACTTTTTTAGCACCCTTTCCCACCCAATCTTCCCTTTTTCTAGTTTCCCCCTTCCTATCCCAGTATTTACCACCCCCATTCCCCAGTCCCTCTCTCTCCACTTTCCATCCCAGCCTTTCCCAGGTTCAAACCTCTTTTTCCATTTCAGTCTTGCCCCCTTTCCCACTGCAGTTTCCCACTTTCCAGCCCTCCTTTCCATCCCAACCTTTTCCAGTTTCAGGACCCCTTTTCCACCTCAATCTTTCCTCCTTCCCCAGTTATCCCCTTCCCCCCCCCAAACCTGTCCAACTTTTCCAGATACCCCCTTTCCACTTCATTTTCCCACTTTTTCAAACACCCCTTCCCATTCTTTTTTTCCCACCCTCTTATCAAGTCAGTCTTTCCCACTTTTTCTCATTTATATACACACAGTATTTTCCCAAAATGTATACTGTTAACATAAACTATGGTGATTATTTGATTATTGTTGTTTTTGTTATTGTTACATTTATTATTTTACTTTATTATTGTTATAATGTTATTATTACATTTATTATTTTCTTTTATTTATTATAATAAATGTATTATTTTTCTCTATTATAGTTATTACAATTATTTAACTCTAATATTATTACATTTGTTTTACTCTGTTAATATTATCACTACATTTTGTTATTTTGTCTATTGTTATTACATGTATTACCTTTCACCTTAAGAACAGACAAGCATCCCGAGCTCTGAGGAAGGAATCCCACTGGAGCATTGCAGCGCACCCAAATACCTGGGAGTCACTCTGGACCGTGCTCTGACCTACAAGAAGCACTGTCTGAATATCAAGCAAAAGGTGGGTGCTAGAAACAATATCATACGAAAGCTGACTGGCACAACCTGGGGATCACAGCCAGACACAGTGAAGACATCTGCCCTTGCGTTATGCTACTCTGCTGCTGAGTATACATGCCCAGTGTGGAACACATCTCACCATGCTAAAACAGTGGATGTGGCTCTAAATGAGACATGCCGCATTATCACGGGTTGTCTGCACCCTACACCACTGGAGAAACTACACTGTCTAGCCAGTATTGCATCACCTGACTTCTGCCGGGAAGTAGCAGCCAATAGTGAAAGGACCAAGGCAGTGACATCTCCAGCCCATCCTCTGTTTGGGTATCAGCCAGCACGTCAACGACTTAAATCAAGAAATAGTTTTCTAAGACCTACAGAGACACTCGCTGGAACACGCCAGCAAGTGAGAGTCCAGAAGTGGCAGGCTCAAACCCAGAACCTCAACCAATGGCTGATACCAAATGAGAGACTCCCCCCTGGGCACACAGAAAACTGGGCGACTTGGAAGGCACTGAACAGACTGCACTCTGGCACCACGAGATGCAGAGCCAACCTTCATAAATGGGGCTACAAAGTGGAATCCACGACATGCGAATGTGGAGAAGAGCAAACCACTGACCACTTGCTGCAATGCAACCTGAGCCCTGCCACATGCACAATGGAAGACCTCCTTGCAGCAACACCAGAGGCACTCCAAGTAGCCAGATACTGATCAAAGGACATGTAATCAACTACCAAGCTTGCAAACTTTGTGTTTTGTCTGTCTGTTTGTTTGTTTGCTTTCTTAAAAATGTAATACAAATGTCTTGTTGGTCCTGACTCGATAAATAAATAAATAACATGTATTACTTTACCCTATTATTACATGTATTATTTTACTCTATTGTTGCTATTGGAGCCCCCGGTGGCGCAGTGGGTTAAAGCACTGAGCTGCTGAGCTTGTTGATCGAAAGGTCACAGGTTCGATTCCGGGGAGCGGCGTGAGCTTCCGCTGTCAGCCCTAGCTTCTGCCAACCTCGCAGTTCGAAAACATGCAAATGTGAGTAGATGAATAGGTACCGCTCCGGCGGGAAGGTAACGGCGCTCCATGCAGTCATGCCGGCCACATGACCTTGGAGGTGTCTACGGACAACGCTGGCTCTTCGGCTTAGAAATGGAGATGAGCACCACACCTCAAAGTCAGACATGACTGGACTTAATGTCAGGGGACTACCTTTACCTTTTATTGTTGCTATTATTACATTTATTATTTTACCCTATTTATGATTATTGCAAGGATACGTAAGCACATTTACACTGAAGAAGGTTAGAAGAATGGTTTAATCAGAGTTGGGCAGACTTACGGAATCTTAAATTACAGATTTATGTAAAGTTTTCCCAATCTTTATGGTAAAATTAGGTGCCTCGGCTTATATTCAAGTTGGCTTATACTCGAGTATATATGGTAGTAATAATAATAAATCACAGATTAACTAATGAATAGGACCCGTAAGCAATCAAGAATAGGATGCAGTGGGGATGATGTAATGCAGCAGGTGGTTGGTTAAAAGGAATATAAATGAAGCATGCAACCACAACATGGGGGCTTCCCTGGAGTGGAGAATTGGGGGCTTCCCAATGACAGAGGTTGTGGACTTTATATCCAGAGATCAGCACTCTCTTCCACTGCATAGCCTGAAGTTTGATAATATTGGAAATAGCAACCTTTTTCCAAAACTCCACTAGTTACTTGTTATGTATATAATTCAGATTGGTAACTGTATTGTATATGAGTGTATTGGTATGCAGTTTTCCCTAACGCTATGTTGTGGGTGGGGCTGCAGACCATGTGATCAGAACTGGGATTGTTCAGTACTCAGACTTCATTGGACTTTCAGACCAGACAGAGACTTATCAGACTCTCAGACGAGAGAGATACTTCAGCCTATGGACTGTTAAGATTAAAAGAAAGATGCAGAGAAACTACTTCAAATCCTATCTGTAACTCGATAGGCAAAGTACCTGTATGTTGAATACATGAAGTTTGTGAGTAAACCAACTATATTACTTTTAAAGAAGTCTCCTTATTTTGGTCTCTTGAGAGCATGATGTTTTAAGGGAAAGTAGATGTTTTTGAGCAACTGAAATAACACTTCTGAACCTCTGCGAGATATATATGTGTATGTGTGTGTTTGTGCATTGGCATATCTTTGTCTCTAACAGTTTGAAGAGATATCTAGGTATATCAGTCTAACAGCCAAGAATGGCCTTGCATGAATGCTAGTGTCGACTCAAGCGAGTTTTTAACTTTTCTCAGGGAGAGTCCTGATTGTCCCAAAATATTCGTTAATCCCATTTCCCAAAATGCTATGGCATCCTATTTCCAAAAGCCTTGCCTTCCCCCAATGGCAGAATGCATGCTTTCCGTGGATATGGCTTAGGAAAGAAGCCAAGGGACAGGGGAGATGAGCAGTGTCTCCCTCCTCACCTTTGACGATGTCCGAGAAAGTGGCCGAGTGGCGGGAGACAAAGAGCTTGAGCTGCTGGTCCAGGTTGCAGGCCGCCAGGTCGATGTCCCAGGAGCGGATGCCTAAGCGAGAAACAGACTTATTGTGGAAACAAGGATTGAGGAGGCAGCTTCACTGGAGACCACATTTCCTCCTAATAATAACAATTCTTCCAGGAGTGCGTTTCCCTTCCTCCATACAGGCAGATTTCCCTCACTTCCTGTTCTCTCAGTCCTGTTCTTCACTAGGAGTTGTTTTCAAGTCAGATGTTTGTAACTCGAGGATGGACCAAAGCCTGTTATTGATTATAGGCAAACATTGGAAGACCAGCAAATGGTTTCATCATTAAAGTACACAATAAAGACAAGTTCTGGGGCAGGATAGTGAAAAACAGTGCAGCAGCCCCCCCCCCCCCCCCCCGCAATGCAAGGACCACCAGGGACAAACTCTTAAGAGTCTTAAGAGTTAGAAGAAATTGTGTGGGCCTACTAGTCCAACCCCATTCTTCCAGGCAAGGAAAGGCACATCAGAGCCCTTCTGACAGGCCATCTCAAGGGGGGGGGGGGGGGGGGGCGGCGGCTACGGGACATGATGGGACGGATGACAAAGGCTCCTTTGGCCCCAAGATGAATGCAAGGAGGCCCCGGTGCTCCCTTCCTAAAGAGCAGCACACTTTGGCAGGCCCGTAGCCAGGATTTCGATTTGGGGGGGGGGGGGGCTGAATTTTTTTTCAGGGGGGTTTCGGGGGGGGGCTGAGTTTTGGGGGGGGCTGAGTCTGAGTGAAAGAGGGTCTACCCTAGCAAACCTTTTGTATCATTACCCCAATACCCCCATGCATATGGGATATATTGAGTATGGTGATCAGATCATGATATGAATAAACATAACAGTTTAAATAATGCACCAGTAAGGCCTTTTCGAACCACCATGAGAATTTCGGGGGGGGGGGGTGAAGTCCCCTCAAGCCACCCCCCCCCCCCCCCCGCGCTACATGCCTGCACTTTGGGATCTTACACACAAGAAAACAGAGAGGATTCCCTGGGATGACCCCATCCCTCCTCACTCCCTTTGCGCTTTCTAAAGGAGGAAAGAAACGCTGCTACTGCTCCTCATATTTCCTGTTTGGTGGAGAGGAGAGGAAGCCCAGGCAAAAGGGGAAGCACATCAACGCCACCGCCTAACAAGGGGTGGATGTCTCTGATCAAGGGGAAGCGCCAAGGCAGATGGGGAAGCACCAAGGAGGGCACTTGGCTGTGAGTCCAGGGGAGGCCACATGTGTCCCTCCCCAAGGGCCTCTCTCAAAACCTGCTGCCTTTTCCAGGCCACACGGAGGCTCCTAGGAACCACAGCCAGAGGGAAGGCCAACAAACACAGAGAAGAGCGCTTTTGCCATGTAGAGGAGAAGGAGGCAGCAGGGACACTTCACAGCTGTTGATCCTCACCTGCCTACATCTTCCAGGAGCAAGGAGGCAGGCAGGAAGGAAGAGGAAAAGGAAAGGAGGGAGGGAGGAATTAAGAAGTCAGAAAAATGGAGGGAAAGGGAAGGTGGCAGGCAGGAAGGAAGGAAGAAAAGAAAGAAGGAGGAAGGGAAGAATGAAGGAGTCAGAAAAATAGAAAGGAGAAGGAAGGGAAGGGAAGGAGGCAGGCAGGAATGCAGGAAGGAAGGAAGAGGAAAAGGAAAGGAGGAAGAGAGGGAGGAATTAAGAAGTCAGAAAAATAGAAAGGGAAGGGAAGGGGCAGGCATGAAGGAAGAAAAGAAAGAAAGAGGGAGTGAGGAAGGGAAGAATGAAGGAGTCAGAAAAATAGAAAGGAGAAGGAAGGGAAGGGAAGGAGGCAGGCAGGAATGCAGGAAGGAAGGAGAGAGGAAAAGAGGAAGGAAGGAAGGAAAAGGGGGAGGAAAAAGGAAGAGAGGGAGGAGGGGGTTAGGAAGAGAGGTATGAAAGAAGGAAGGAAGGAGGACGAAGTTAGGGAGGAAGGAAAAGAGGGAGGGAGGGAGGAAGCACAGGGAAACACAGGGAGAGGAAGGGAAGGAAGGCAGGCAAGGGAGGGAAGAAGAGAGATCAAGGGGAAGTGCCAAGGGAGTGAGGGGGAGGGTTAGGAAGGAAGGAAGAAAAGAAGGAAGTTATGGAGGAAGGAAGTGAGTGAAGGAAGGACAGAGAAACAGGAAGAGGAAGGGAGGAAGGAAGGGAGGAAAGAAGGGAGAGAAAAAAGAATGGCGGAAAGAAGGATGGAAAGAAGGAAGGGAGGAGAGAGTTAGGAAGAGAGGAAGGAAAGGACGAAGGGAGGGAGGGAGGGAGGAAAAGAGGAGGAAGGAAGGCAGGTGAAAGGGAGGGAGTAAGGAAGGATGGAACAAAAAGAAGAGGGAGGAAAGGGGCAAACAAGGCAGGCAGGCAGCAATAAGGAAGGAAGGCTGTGTCCTTTTCAGGAGAGAGCCTTTTTTGGGCAAAGAGATAGCTGGGACTCACAGGAAGCAGGGCAGCCGCAAGCGTGGAGCAAGAGGAGGCAAACGGACAGGTCTTAAACAGGCAGGGGATGGAAGTAGCTCTTCTGAGGGGAGAAAGTGACCGAAGAGAGCTGCGCAGGAAAGGACTCTTGCTACAGCACACCAAGAATGTTTGCCAGGGCTGGCTTGTCATGCATAACTTCTCAGTAACTTTAAAGCACAGGTTCTTTTATTGCAATGTCCAGTGTGAGAGGGTATATCAGAACTTTTACACAAAATAAAACAATACCCCATTTACTAGGCTGACCAATTTTGCCGATCAGACTGCTTCTGAAACCAAAATGTAACTCATCTACCTTATCTTTTCCATTTTACTTTATCAATTCGCAAAATCATAACTCCAATTACTTTTTATCCAACCATAAAATACCACATCTAGGTAATATAATACCATTTTGTAACAAGCACCCCATTTTCCTTATAGAATTCCACAAAAAAGAATTTCAGAAAATAAAATTCAGAATCTCCTCTGTTCTTCCTCCTGCACATTTTCCTTTATAATCATCAAGAGTCCTCCTGTATCAAAGTTTAAAATTCATTTAGATCTTTTTCTACATATAAAGGGTCAAAACTGCATCTTGCCCTAAATTGCAACTCCTGCCATTAATTTTTTTTACCTCTGATCTTTGACAAAGAGGCCCCTTCTTCTGTTAATTTACTGTAAAAACAACTCCAAATTCAAATGCTATCTTCCCTCATTGGAAAGACTTTCCTCTAAATTCCTTTTAAAAATCTTTAGCCTTCCCATGGCTTAAAAACAAAACAACCACAAGCAACTATACCAAGAACCTTCCTCCGCCTCCATATAGAGATTATGGAATTTCAATTCATTGAAACCACTCCAGCATATTTACTTTTCCAGAGAATTAGGACTCTCCCTTGTTCCCTCATCCTCTGCAATTCTTCAAGATGGAGGAACAGAAGCCATCATTTCCAGAACAGATGGGATGGCTCGAGAAATATGCTTCCTCCCGGGGGCTCACCAGGCTCCTCAAGCCCCATCACGGTGTCCCCCCCCCCCAATGTTAATTCATGTAGGAACCAATGATACTGCTAGGCATACTTTTCAAAGGATCATAAATTATTTTCGAGTTCTCAGAACAAAGCTAAAACAGTGTAATGTACAGGTGGTTTTTTCATCCCTCCGCCCAGTTGTAAGACACGGCCCTACAAGGGCCAGAAAAATAGTACAGGTCAATAACTGGCTTAGAAAATGGTGTCAGGAGGAACGCTTTGGCTTCCTCAACCATGGCTTGCTTTTCCAGGAGGATGGTCCACTGCCAAGGGATGGGTGCAACTCACACAAGTAGGAAAACACCTTTTTGCTCACAGACTCGCAAACCTCATTAGGTGCACTTTAAACTAGGTCCACCGGAGGAGGGGGACAACAGCCTTGTGAGACATGCACAAGAAGTGGAAAAAGGGAGAAATCACCAAAGAAGAACTCAAACAAATAGCCAACTCCTGTAGGGAAAAGGTCCGCAAGGCTAAAGCACAAAATGAGCTCAGGCTTGCCAGGGACATTAAAAACAATAAAAAGGGCGTCTTTTCTTATGTCCGTAGAAAAAGGAAGAACAAGGAGGCGATAGGGCCTCTTTGAGGAGAAAATGGGGCAATGATGACAGGGGAGAGGAAAAGGCAGAACTACTTAATACCTTCTTTGCCTCGGTCTTCTCACAAAAAGAAAATCATCTTCAACCTCAGCAAGATGGAGTGGATGAGGGATTAGAGGACATCCAACCCCAAATTGGGAAATGAGTTAAAGTCCCCAGGGCCAGATCAACTACACCCAAGAGTATTGAAAGAACTAGCGGAAGTCATCTTGGAACCATTGGCATTCATCTTTGAGAGTTCTTGGAGAACGGGAGAAGTTCCAGCAGATTGGAGGAGGGCCAATGTGCTTCAATCTTCAAGAAGGGAAAAAAGGATGACCCAAACAATTACCGTCCGGTCAGCCTCACGTCGGTACCAGGCAAGATTGTTAAGGAAGTGGTCTGCAAACACTTAGAAACAAATGCGGTCATCGCTAATAGTCAAAACGGATTTATCAAAAACAAGTCATGCCACACTAATCTGATCTCTTTTTTCGATAGAACTACAAGCTGGGTAGATGCAGGGAATGCCGTAGATGTAGTGTATCTGGACTTCAGTAAGGCTTTCGACAAGGTCCCCCATGACCTTCTGGCAAACTAGTCCAATGTGGGCTAGGCAAAACTACGGTGAGGTGGATCTGTAATTGGTTAAGCGAACGAACCAAGAGGGTGCTCACCAATGATTCTTCTTCATCCTGGAAAGAAGGGACGAGCGGAGTGCTGCAGGGTTCTCTCCTGGGCCCGGTCACCACAACTGAAGAGAGATATTGACAAGCTGGAATGTGTCCAGAGGAGGGTGACTAAAATGATCAAGGGTCTGGAGAACAAGCCCTATGAGGAGAAGCTTAAAGAGCTGGGCATGTTTAGCCTGAAGAAGAAAAAGCTGAGAGGAGACATGATAGCCATGTATAAATACGTGAGAGGAAGTCATAGGGAGGAGGGAGCAAGCTTGTTTTCTGCTGCCCTGAAGACTAGGATGTGGAACAAT